GGAAAAGCCTCCTTGCCTCTCTCCGCCAAAGAATCAAAAGCTGTTCCTTTCCAGTCAATAAGCTTGAGCCCAAATAGCAGGAGGGAATGGAAGGGAGGTCTACGAGATGCCTGGGTTCTAGGCCTGATCCAGCTACTGAAGCTGCTGTGAACTTAGGTAAATTTCCCTCTTCAAATCTGTGTTGAAAAATGGGGGTATTGAGTTTGATGTTGAAGGTCTCATCTAATAGGGAGGTGGAAGGGAAGAAAGGAAGGAGGGAAGGAAGGGAGGAAGAAAGGAAGGGAGGGAGGGAGGAAGGAAAGATAGGAAGGAGGGAAGGAATGAAAGAAGGGAGGGAGGGAGGAAGGAAAGGTAGGAAGAAGGGAAGGAAGAAAAGGAGGGAGCAAGGGAGAAAGGAGGGAGGGAAGGAAGGAAAGAAGGGAGGGAGGAAGGGAGGGAGGAGGGAAGGAAGGAAGGAAAGAAGGGAAGGAGGGAGGAAGAAAGGGGGAAGGAAGGAGAGAGGGAAGAAGGGAGGGAGGAAGGGAGGAAGGAGGGAAGGAAGGAAGAAAGGAAGGGAGGGAGGAGGGAAGGAAGGGAGGGAGGGAGGAGGGAAGGAAGGAACAAAGGAAGGCAGGAAGGGAGGGAGGGAGGGAGGGAGGGAGGAAAGTAGGTAAAGAGGGAAGAAGAGAGGAAGGAATTAGGGAGGGAGGAACCAATAAGGGTTTGTCTACAATGTCTCAACCCTCAATGGCTATTGGAGAGTACCACCTATGTTCAGTGAATAGACTTCAGAGCATGTATGATCTTCCCATGTGAGTATTCCCTCCCTCACTGCAAAGGGTGGCCAGCTTCTCTTCCTGTGGGATTCTTGGCCATGTTCTACCCTGCACAGAGGATCTTAATTGCACAGAAATCAGCTCTTGACTCTCCTACCTGCCCAAAAGTCTTGAGTTTCTGAGGCCTTCTTAGCCTGGCCTAGGGTTCATGGAAGGCAAATGCTTCGGGACTCATGGGTCTCCTACCACAGGGGGAAAAAATGGAAAACCAGCTCATGCAAAAACTACAGCTTGGCCTCTGTGGGAGAGGTCTCTCCCCAGACTGCTGGACATGGTGACGTTCACCGAGCCGTCTTCCCCCGCCTTCTCCCCTCCACCCGCTGCCAGCAGTGCCCCCATCTTTGTTGCACGCACATGGGTGAAGTCTACCGAGCACGGAGACGGGTCAGCTTGTCCAGGAGGCAGAGGGCAGCCCAGCTCTTCCCCCATGTGCGGCCAGAAGATGACCAAGGAACTTCAGCCACATGGGAGCAGGGTGGGACCTCGGGGGACTGAACTAGGAAGTTTTATTTACATAGTAAAAGTTACAAGCAAATTCCTGAGGTGGGGGGCGGGGGGGGGCACTGCTAGTGCAATCAAGTCAACTGAGAGAGGCAAGGGGCGGCTCAGTGGTGACCTTCAGGCTGAGATGGCAACAGCCATCCCAAGCCTCCTGGCACGGGCTCCGTTTGACCCCGGGCCTAAGCACCAAGTCACAGCCCAGGTTTCTGCAGTTCTGAGTTCTCCCCAAAGGCTCTGCGGCAGTCACGCTTCTGACAATTCTTCAACATCAGAAACGTCAGACTTGGCAAAGCTCTACAACGCCCCTAAGAAAAGCTGACCTACTCTGCCATCCCGCTCCTTGGGATGAGGACCTGATGCACTGAAAACTCGGTTTCATTTGCCAAACAGACTAGGCTAGAAAGTGAAGAATTACAAACCTAGTCTATGAATACTTGACTTGCAGGTTTTGTTTTTTAATTTTGTTCCTTAAAAAAAAGGAGGGTTCACTGTGGTTTTGACCGGTGCCAACACCAGCTTCAGGAGTTTGCCATGACTGCAAGGACAGGTCAGATCTGAGGCTTCCTTGTTAACTGGACGTGTGAACATCGAAGCAGCTGCCCCTTCCAGCATTCTCTTGGTGCCCACCCTCTAGAGCTAGTCGGGGGTGGCTGGGTCCCAAACCCAAACCGAGCCAAGCTAAGCAGAGCCCTTGTTTCATTTGGTAATGGTCACCTGCCGTGTGGGACAGGACAGCTCCCATGCCCATATCTGGGCAGGCTTTCCCTAGTGAGAAAGTATCCCCAGAGGATGTGAAAAAAAGGCAACAAAATGTCACGTGAGGAGCTTCAGATGATGCCCTCCCCACCCCAACCTTTCTTTGTGTAAGCAGGCAATCTCCACACGACACTCTAATTTACAACAAACACAGCGTTTCCCAAAGCTGAGACCCATGTGCAACTTCAGGATGGATTTCTGTCCTTCTTTATTATTACATTTTCTTTTTTTATATATATGTACAAATTCACAAAAGTTTACCAACTACAAAAAATCTGTTTGAAAAGTAAGGCTTTTGAAAACTGAAAATTGGTACACAAATCCCAAACCAGGAATGTCCCTGTTGGCCCTGAAATCTCCATTTCTGTCACTGTGGTTTGGGGTCAAGTTGACGGACCCCCCAGGCCAATGCCCGTGGCACCAGCCTTTGAGTAAGGCAAAAGGGTTTGTGGTCATGTAAACTGGACATGTATGTGATCTCCTGTGGCAGGGTCCCCTCCTCCTGCCTGGGGCCAGCCCCCTGGGGTGAAGCAACCCTTCTTCAGGTGTAGGGTATGTATGTGTGTGTGTGTGTGTGCACGTGTGCATGTGTAAGAAGCCCTTTGGAATTCCAAGTGAATGACATGTAAAGGAGATTATGCCTTTTTAACAGGGACCTCCCCAAAAACCCATCAAGCAGCCTTGAGGCCTGGTTTCCCCAGGCTCCCTTAGGTGCTTGGAGCTGGGTTCTACAATTCCCTCAGCCTTGACAGGGAACCCCTGGCTGTGGGCATTGGGGATTTCTTTTTATGGGGAAGGGAAGCCTGAGGATAGTGGTGAACCAGGGTCCCTCAGAGGGAACCTTATCTCTACCACCTGAAATCCAAGTTCCTCCCCCCATTTGGGAAGAGTGTGAGGGAAAAGACAGATTTGCCACTGGCCACGACCATTTGTGTGGGCTCCCTGTAGCATCACCAGGGAGGACTGGGTAGGGCAGGGACTAGTCACCAGCAGGGGGAATGTCCAGTTGTGCTACAGAGGGCACCTGGAAGGGCTGGGAAGGGACAGGTGGGCTGGGACCAGTGGGCTGGGACCAGTTCTGGGAGACAGAGTCCACCCAGACTAGCAGGTTTCCAGACCCCTCCCCACATGGGGTTCCTGATTCCGTGCTAACCCAGATTGGCTAAGCCCTCCCTTGTGCCTTGGAAGATGCCAACCAGTCACTGATGCACCCACAAACCAGGGTCAAAGAATTTGTTTTCCAATGTTTGCTTTTCATCTCTTTTCAAAAGGACAAAATTAACCCTCTGTTGCTGTTCAAGGCTGTGGCCACCATCAGTTAACAGGCGCTGGGCTCCCAAGAATCCTCCCAGGGTCAGGTACAGCCGCTGGGCATCATCCCCTTGGCCTCAGCCCACGGGCCTCAACAAGCGTCACTTGGGCTCCACCGAACAGCATAGCTGATGGGCCACCCCCCCCCCACGGGCTCCCTCATCCCCCAGACACCTGCATCCTCTGAAGCACTTGCAGAAAAAAATAATGTGTGAGAAGAGGCCCTCAATTATGCCATGGGGCATACTGAAAGCAACCCCAGCTGAAAGCTTTGAAAAGGGGAGCGAGGGACAAGGATGTTCTCTGAAATCCCTGGCCCTGGAACTAGGGAGCCAACAAAGAAGGGGATGCGGCCTGGGCAGGACAGCCCAAACCCCCATGCCAGATGCTGCTCCTCCCGCTCACCTGTGAAGTAAACCTTTCACTGGCAGAGCACAAGAAAGCCTGGGCCATCAGCAACAGTGCGCCCGCAGCCTCCTTGGGTTGTCTTTGATGCAATGGAGGACGTGGGTGGATGCTGCTAGGCCAGCACCGAGCATTTGGCCGAGCACGGTCCCACCACTGCCAGGCCCTTCTGACTGACGGGGAAGCCTCCAGCAAGGCCGGCAAGAGCAGCGTCTGGGCGACCATTAGCCCCACGAGGGGCTTGTGGCTTTTCAATGGCTATCTCCCACCTTGATGGGTGGGGTCGTGACAATGTTCATCTTCCTCATGGCCAAATCATGAGTATACAAGTGAGTATACAAGCCCATCAGGACCTCCATCTCTGGGAACAAAGGTATTGCCAAGGCCTGGAGACCCCTTCCTCATTTCGATCAGTGCTGAGCACCCCAAAGGCAGAGCTGGGAGACCCTGAGAAGTGGGTTCTGGGAGGAGCTGACCTCTCTCATGACCCTGATTCTAGGATGACGTCAGGGCCCTCACCCCTTGAGGGTGGAGGACCTGGCTATGGGGAGGAGATGTCCCCACCCTGCCAGGCATCCCGGCATCTCTCCACGTCCCTTTTATAAACACAACAATCTTCTGTACTCACTTCGCACTATTCCTCTGCAAACAACCTTAGATGCCAAGACTCACCCTGACAACAGAAGGGACCGCGATTCTCCCTTCTCAAAGACTGAGGAATGAGGGCAGGCATGACGGGGGAGTGGAGCTCTTCCAGCTTTTCATTAGACTCAACCCGCCAGGCCCCGCCATCCCTTGGGGCTCCTCCCTGGGCAGCGCTGGAGCCGCCAACGCCCCGGAGCGCACCTTCAGGAACACCACCTTGGGGGCAGAGGAGCCAGCCAAGGTCCCTTATGGGAGCCAAAAAGTGGCAGACTGCAGGATCCCAGATTCAAGAGGAAGGGGGACCACGGGCACTTAGTTGGGAAATGAGGCGTTCAGTCTTCAGTGGAAGAAGAACAGCAGCAAAATGGCTCCACGGTACCGTCATCACAGGAGGCAGGAGGTCAGAGTCTGGGCCGTTTGGGTTTAATAAGAAAAGCCCTGCACACAGTCTACCCATGCTAGCTGACCTCACCCGATGGATGCTGAGGAGGGGAAAGGAGGAGGGGGATGAGAGAGAGGGAGGCTGAAGGGGGAGGAGGGAGGATGAAGGGGGAGGCGGGGCAGGAGAAGCAGGGAGGATGAAGAGGGGAAGAGAAACAGGAGGAGGAGCAGCAGCGAGGAGGGGGAAGAGGAGGACCAGGAGGGATGTGAGATTTTGAAAGACTGGGGGGCTGAGTCCTGTCCCCATCACTTACTAACTGTGTAGCCTTGGTCACATGACTTGGGCACTTGGGGCAGGGGTTTCATTGCTCCCAGGCCAGAACCTCTGGGAATCTCAGTTTGCTCATTTATAAAATAGGAATAACACTCCCACTTCTCTTCTGCCTACCTGATAGTGGTGCTGTGAGGTCCAGATAAAGCCCTTTGAAGCCACAAAGTATTAGGCACACGAGTTCTCATTACTATAGGTAATATAAGTCAGGTGAGAGACAGAGACAGAGAGGAGAGACAGAGAGACAGGGAGGGAGGGGGGTAGGAAGGAAGAGAGACAGAGACAAAGGGTGGGAGAGAAAGAGAGCAGGGCTTTTCCTGTGGTGTGTCTGCTAGAAGGCCTCGGGGACCAGAGCTAAGTAGGGGAAGCCCCCAGGGGCAGGGGCAGCAGGCAGGCCCCTGGATGTGGGCAGGGTCAGAAATGGGAAGGCTGCCTCCCACCCACTGGCCCAGTCCTTGCTCCTGCGCTCAGAAGGGAAGGGCGGTTGGCAAATTCACAAGATGGAGCCCTACCCACAGTTTTATGGTTAAGGGAAGCCTTGATTTAGATGAGCTGCGCGCCTCGATTGAGTCTGGGAGCAGCCGTGAATTTTCCAATCTCCCCAAGTGCTTGAATTTCCTGCCCTGGCCCAATCACTGCAGGCCGCTCACCATGGATGCACAGCTGTCTGAGTCGGTCCCATGTTCCTTGGGCCCTGAGGGGTCCTAAGCTGGCTGGTGTGGGCTCCTCCCAGGGGAGATGGGTCTAGTGTTTGCTCTGGGGTCCAACTCTCTGACCCCGCCCCCAAAGCAGCCAATGACAACCGGCTAAGGCTGTGGCCACCACCCCGGGTTTGGCACCATGGCATCTCCTGCTGGCATGGGCCTTTCCTGGGAGCTCCCCTCCAATCCCTGGCTGGACCTGACAGTGATGAGACTCTCACGGGAAGCCTGGCTCTGCTGCCCAGCATGGAGCCCCAGGGACCCCTGCAGTTCCTGCCACTGATCTGTAATGAGGGTCCAGAGCTTCTGCGGGCACTGGCCAAAAGGCCCATCCCAAAGCAAGAGCTAGGAACCGTGTGCAGTGCAGACACCCCCTGGGAGAAGAGCAGGCACCTGGCCCCCCACCCAACACCCCAACGCCCGACTCAAGCTTCCTCCCCTTTCAGATTCCTGCATTCACCCTGAACCGGGAGGCGCCCAGAACCTGACTGGGAGAGGCCCAGGGGCCCCTGGGCAGAGGGGATGGTCGCACCTGCTCTTTAAGTCCCACGAGAAAGTGAACAAGCCGCTCTCTGGCTACGGTAGCGGGACAGAGCTCCAGGGTCGGAGAGGCCGGGCACACCTGAAAACGTTTCGGCAAGGCTACCTGCTCTACTCCTCTGCGTGGGATTCTCTCTGCCCGCCACGGAGAGGCCCCAGAGAAGCGCCGGGCGGATGCAGCCGGGACCCGTGAGCGAGCAATTCCCGGAGGCCTGGGGAGGCATTCCAGGAGGGAGGTTGGCTCCTCTGGGACACAAAGGGAGGCCGTGGCCCAGGCCCAACGTGCCACCCCCCCCCCCAAGCTCCCTGCTGGGCTCATTCCCAAACCTGATGCAGATGGCAGTCTAGTCATGTCTTCTGCCCTCCCCTAGTTGTTTTCTATCTGCTCGATGTCCAATTCGCCATCCAAAGGGAAGATGCTGGCCCCGTCCGTCCCGGGGCTCTGCCAGGCCGAGGCCCGGTCCTCTTGCCGCCGACCGCTCTCCTCGCTGGGGATGCCACAGTCCGACTCGTCGAAGGCCAGATCCTCTTTGCTAAGCGTACATTCTTCGGTGGCGGGAGGAGGGTCTGGGCCAGGGGTCCCCGCAGGCTCCCTGCCTTCTGTGCTGGTGCAGGCAGAGAGCAAGGCTGTCCAGGACTTGGAGTTATTCGTGGTAGTGGCAAAGGGGCTCTGCTGACCGCAGTCATCCACCGTGGTGCTAAGGCAGCTGAGGCTGTTGAAGGTCTGACAATTCTGCAAAAAAAGAAACAAGAAACACAGGTAGCCACAGAGCCGACCTCGCCATCGCAGGACCAAAAAGGGCGGTGTGCAGTGAGCCGACTGGCCAGCTGGGGAGCGGGGATGCTGTGTGGGCACTGGCCAAGTCTGATCCTGGACACACATCGACAGATGGCTTTGGGGATATTGGGCCTCCTCGAACCCTTCTCCAGCCACACCCACAGGCCAGCAACATTACCGGGTGTCTGCTCCTAACAGACCGGACGCAGCTGACCTGCTGTCACACGGGTATGTCCACGGCCCGCTAAGTTCCTGCGCTGGCTTGGAGACTTACCACTCAATCCATCAATCAGTCAATCTACAAGCATTTATTAGACTCCCTCTCTGGGCCAAGCAGCATGCTAGGCTCTGGGACACAAGGCTGGAATTAAACAGTCTGCCCTGGAGGGGCAGAGCCAGGGAGAGAGAATACATGCATGGACAAGGATATAAAGGGAAATAAAGTTACTTTGGGGGAGAAGGCAGATCGGGAAAGGCTTCCCTACAACAACCGAATCTCAATCCTCATCTGTGAAATGGGGGCGTACACGACCAGCCCCAGCCTCCCACACGGGAAGGCACCTGACACAGAGGACCCTCTCCAAATGGTGGGGGAGGACGACTCTTGGCTCATTACACGCAGGCACGTCTTAGACTGAGCAAATATATTTGGCCAGCGGATGATGGTCACGCTGCCGAGAACAACTTTCACCCTGACCCATGGAGAAGGTCACTGGCCCGACACCTGGCTCCTGAAAGTCTGAGCAGCCCATCTCTTCCTTCAGTTTGGGGGCTGCCCTTTAGGCAGGAGATGCCCCCGGGCTTCTTGCTCCCATCCATGCAGTGGGGGGATGGGTCTTTCCATCCTTTCTCTTTCCTTCAGCATCTGCCCCTCGGGAACAAAACCATCGCTGTCCCCCTTGGGCCAGGGGATCCCACCCCGTGGTCTTTGGCAACCAGCAGATGCAAGTGGAAAGGCAGGCACTCCTTCTGGGGGAGGGAGCCTCTGCCATCCGTGAGCTCGCTCTCTGCTCCTCAAATGGAGCAATTCCTGGCTTCTCTCAGGAGTTTTCAGAGGCAAGGTAGAACATCTCCCGGCCCTTCTCCTCTTTCTCCTCGAAAGCAGCCATCCACCTACTGGATACTTCCCTTGTATATACTGAGTTTTACACGGGGCATCTCTTGGGAACGTCAGCTCCTGGAGGGGAGGGGCAGTTTGCCTTTCTTTGTACTCCTCCCCCCTTGCCCAGTGCTTAGACTGATGCCTGGCACAAAAATGGTGCTTAATAAACGCTCATGGATCGACCGAGTTGGATACCCGCTGGGTGACCACTGGCAACAGGCCTTTCTCTGTGATGGAGTGGACAGTCTCCTCCTGGCCAACCTCCTAGGACAGTGACCAGTGCACTAGGGAAGGGAATAAGCAGTTATTAAGTATCTACTGTGTGCCAGGCCCAGGGCTAAGAGCTTAGTAAATATTATCTCATTTGAACCTCACAACAGCCCTCTGAGGTGGGTGCTGTTATTTTTCTCATTTTATAGTTGAGAAGGCAAGAGAAGGGTAAGTGACTCACCCAGGGTCTCACAGCTAGTAAGTGTATGAGGCTGAATTTGAACTTGGTCCTTCCTGAGTGCAGGCCCACGGCTCTATTCACTGAACTCCCATTCTACTGCATGGAGAATTAAAAACAAACCCCAGAAGGGGTAGGCCTTATAACCTGTCAAAGTGGTTTGGGGTGGGTGGAGAGGAGACTTTAAAAAAAAAAGCCACAAATAGGCCTGAGGCCTAGAAATCAGCTCTGCAAAACCCAGTGTCTGTGCAAAGAATGAATAAGAAGAAAGGAAGTAGCAGTGATGTGAAATGTGGGTCAGCCCTCCCAGGAAGTGCACCCATCCTCGGGGAGCCTTCTGGCAAGCCCCATGCAAGCCTGACAGGCTGGTGAGAAAGTAAGTACCTAGGCTAAGCCACAGGCTCAGAGCCTTTCCTGAGGCAAGACTCAGGCTGAACCAGAACAGACGAAGAATGCCCCCCCACCCCCAACCCATGGGCACACTCTTTCCAGGCCATGAAAAAAAAAATGTTCTGAGCAAGGTTTCCCCTCCCCAGACCTTCCTGCTGGGACTGTTTTCTTGGAAATCTGCAAGGCTTTCTAAGCGAAGTCTCTCTGGAGACGGCTAAATGGGCCTTCCATTTCCTGGCTGGATTCTTCAGGCTTGGCCTTGTAAATTAAATTCCTCACACCTCAGATGCAGACTTTGACAGCTAATCTCATCCCAGAAAGGGAACGGGCTCTAACGTTCTGCTGGGGAAAACTAATGCATTTCAAGCAAATGTTAGTTCTGGGAATCAAAGCTTAATTGGCCGAGGCCTCCTAGAGACACAGCATTGACCCGTCAGACTCTGGACCCAGAGCCCACTCTCTGAGCAGCGCATTCTAGGAGAAGGACAGGTCCCAGCCCTGCACTGGCCTAAACATCCTTGGGGGAGGGCAGGCTCCCAATTCAGAGGACAAAGTCCTAGGTTTAAGGCCCAGACAGCTCTGGGACCGCAGAGCCAGCTTTTCTCTCAGGATGGCATCATATTTTCCCTCTCTGCCCCACACAGCTGTTAACGAGGAAAACATTTTGAAAAGAGCCATATGAAGGTGTGTTGTGCTGATGGTGGCCATAATGCTCATGCTGAATAATAAATCAACAGACCCAGGTGAAGTTACTGAAAGAAGCTTCCGGGAAAGGAGCAGAGAGAGAAGGGGACATTCTTGGGAAGTGGGAAATAAAAATGCCTGAATAAAAAGGTTTTTAAAAGTAAGAAATGAGCTGTGCTGAGACTTGAAGCCCACAGTGGGTGGGGCTGGATGGACAGCTGGGCAGACAGGCCGAGGAGGCCGGGCAGACGGGGAGCAGAGAGCCGGGCAGATGGATCCTAGGATCAGAAGACCAGGTTCACATTGCTAGCCTGCCTCTCATGACTTCAGATTCTTCTGCTGTAAAAGGAAGGGGTGGACCAGGGGGCTCTGCATCTGTGGTCTACAAACCACCAGTGAGAGAGGGGCTGTTATTATCGCCCTTTAAGGAGAATGACTTGGCCAGGGTCACACGGGTCATTAGTATCTGAGATGGTACTTGAAGCCTGAACTTTTTGACTCCAAGGCTAGCGTTCTACTCACTGCACCACACTGCCTCTAGTGCAGGGCTTTGTTCTTAACCTTTTTAGTGCATGGACCTTTTTGCAATCTGGTGAAGCCTACAGACCCCCCCCCCAGAATATTTTTAAATGCATAAAACAGAATACACAGGCATACAAAAGAAATCCATGATGTTGCCACGCAAGTTCCTGGACCCCCTGAAAGCCACTCCCAAGGACCAGGACCCTCAGGGGCAGACCCCTCTCCCACTAAGAAAAGCCAAGTAAAGTTTGCCATCAGCACCCCCTCCCTGGGATGAGACACTGTGTCCCTACAGCTGCACCTCCACATTTCTCAAAACCAATGTCACCCTGAAAACATCTTTTCAGAGCTGGGAAAACAAAAGCCTGCCTGCCTTTATCGATGGCTGTCTGGCACAAAGCACCCTGGCTGAAAACGCCACAGGCCAGCGAGCGAGGCTTGCTTTCTTTCCGTGGGTCCATGACTTCCCTGGACAATCTCAGTCACCACCCAGCCCCCATCATTTGATCTGACCATCCTCACAGCCCATGGGTGCCACTGAACTCTCATCCTCGACTCCCCCACCACCACCCCCCACTCACCCCCTGCAGACAGGGTCACTGTTTCCCCCTCGGACACTCCTCTCCTCCAAGGCCCTTCCCCACACTCACACAGCTGCCCCAGGTGCAGGCCCTATGCCCCCAAAGAGGTGCCAAGTAACTCCTACATTGGGGCCCAACCACCGAAGCTCGAGGGAAGCCCTGCAGGAAGCGGGGCCGCCGTTCCCAGCTGGAACGTCCTCCGTGGCTTGCCTCTCTCCTGCTACTCCCCAGACAGGGTGCTCCATCCTGCAGCTTTGCTCGCACTACTCTCACATCCACAATGCCCCCCTTCCTCATCGCTGCCTCTCAGAAACCCCATTTCCCTTCCAGGCTCAGCTCGCGCAGCTTTTCCTGCGAGAGGCCTGTCCTAATGCCACCCCAGGCCCAGCCCTTGAAAGCATCACGTCTTTGCTCTGAGGATTTTTTGTGTCTGTTTGCAAGGGCTAGAGAGTAAGCCTCCTGAGGGTAGGGGCCTGCACGGGCTGGCATGCAGCAGGCTAAGCACCTCCTCCTGTCCTCGTCCATCCTCTCAGACCACAAAAGGGCCTTCACTCTCTGCTCAGCAGCAGCGTCCAGAATGGACGTGGGATCCCAGCTGTTCCTCAGGCAAGTCTCTTCTCTCTGGGCCTCAGCTTCCTCATCTGCAAAATGGGATGATACCAGCCCTACCTCAATGGGTAGCTGTGGGGAGATGCCTTCATGCATGGAAAGTGCTGCCCACAAGGGCGTGGGCCACGGAGAGATCAGCTGTCATGACTGCTGTTATTCAGAGGGCAAGGGTGATGTCCCATATGCTCTGCAAACCAAAGGTGCTTAATGTTTGTTCAACAAATGGCTCCTGATTCTAATGCTTCCTGCTTCTTGCTCTGTCCTGGTTCCCTAATATCTCCCTAGCTGAGCTCCAGCCAGTTCAGGAGACCCCACTTGTCCTCCCCGGGAGCCCCCAAATTGGGAAGTCACCCCCACGGACTAAGCTTTTCAATCCCAAGCGTCCGATTGGTGTTATCTAGCAATATCCCCACAGCAATACAACATCTCCCTCTTTCTAAATGGGAATATTATCTAAATAAAAGACACTAATAGAGCTAGAAAAAGAGAATTCAGGGAGACATGCAATTAACCTCTGAGTTTCTGGAAAATGAACCCTTTCATTTGGGGACCTCAAGATTTCATTCTGTTAACCAAAGGATCTCTAAAGACACCCATCCATGGACTAGAATCCGGCATG